TTTTATTTGAACAGCTTTGAATTGTAAGTATTTGTCACAATGCGGTATCAATGGTAAATTCCAGTCTCTATATATTATAGAATTTGAGCAGCTTGGTGCATTTTTGCTCCAGAGGTCTAATGCTGCCATATGATGTGTATCAATAGTATCCAAGTGTGTATCGAATTTAGCAACTGAGGATAAAAAGGGAAATGCTTAAGGATATGGAGGAATGGATACCTATACTACCTAGCTTTGGTAGAAGTGTAGCTTGCATCTTGGAGAGTGATGAGAATTTGATATTTAAAATAGATTCGAGAGTATTTTTAATATGAACTACTAGGTCTAATAATATTTCAGTGGACATGAAAATTGTTGATGATGAACGAAAGGCATGAAAATTTTATGAATGAATAGAAAGTTTTTAAGTAAATAAAATGGATGCGCAGTTAGTTTAAAATATTTTTCATTCTATTGAATTTGGCAAGAAATTCCTCTCTGAAATGAAATATAACACTTTCACATCCAATAGGTGAACCTAAGTGGGTAAAGCTAATTTTGTCGAGTACAATAAAATTTTCAGGTGGGCAGTCCAAATCAAGGGTGGAGGGATGGGATAAAATTCACACTTTTTAAGATTTGGTGACAGTACCGTTATGGGGTCTAAGCGATTTATAAATGTAGGAATTTTTATGATTTCATTATATGGGCCCGCTAGTGTGTTGTCATCGAGGTACCAAACATTTATTTTAAAGTCATAATTTGAATAGATTTCTTTTATGATTAATTGAATGCCCTGACAGAATAATGCAGGGCCTCAAGGATCTCCTTGTTGGATGTCTTGTTTGGAGAAAATGATTGAATCATTAAATTTTAAAAAAGTGGATTGGTTAAAACATGTTCCAATGGATGTTGAATACTATGGGAATGTTTCTGAGAAAGAGGGTATAAAATGTCCCCTTTTAAGTGAATTAAAGGCATTTTGTAGATCTATTTTAAGGATGCATTGATCATGCGTATTAAGGAGGATGACATGCGTCGAGTTGGATGCAGCCTTACATCCTCCAGGAACACTAAAACCAAGCTGGTTGGGTTGTAATAGGTTGGATAGGTCTGATTATATACGGGAGAAAATTATTTTAGAAATTATTCGCCGGAATACTGACCCTACTGCAATAGGTCTGATGTCCTCATTTGTTTTGTTAAGGTTATTAAGCGGGTTCCAAATATGATAGGCTGAATTATATTAGGAATATTACTATAAAAAATATGAATGAATATTTTATAATTTCACACGTAAAGTGTTTTTATTTGGTAATTTACTAAAAGTATAGAGGTTAACATATATAATTAATTTCAATTCTCTGCTATCAGTTAAGAAAATAAAAAATCCTTTTCTAAAATTTTGGCAAAATTTCTTTAAATATTATTATCAAAAATAAGATTTTTAATAATAAACACATTTTAACTATACTCTTTATTTAATAATTAGCAAACATCCAAAGTTATTGAAGATTCATAGATTATATTTCCTTCTCATTCAATGATCAATCTATATGGAGTGACTAAAGCACCTCTCCCATTAAAGATAGATAGTTGGCATAAATTAGAGATGAAAATTTCTTATTTAGTCTATTTATTTTGGAAGAAATATTGAAATGTACACATGAGGCTTGTATTGAAATGCAGGCAGTTGGTAATGAAGCTTTGGTAATCATATTAATACAACAGACAAAATAATAATACAAAGACTAAGTGGTTAATGTTAGGTACTATTTCTATAAATAATTTTAAATGCAATAAATCTTTCATATAATGTCCCGTTATTTAAAACATATCGAAGAACTACAGCCAGTTGGGATTTATTATTTATATCAATTGTTTCATCTAATATTATTGTTATAAATTCCGTTTCTTCCAATTCATCTAATATTTTTTGGTGTAAGACATATGAAATGGAATTAATTAAATCATTTTGGATATCACTTGATAGTCCAATAAAAGTTGTACTATTTTCTAAATGATGTTTTAATAGCAAATATTCTTCCGCGAGCAAATAAATTAATTCAATATAATTTCCTCTATTTACTGAATTAGGTGATTCATCATCACCACGGAATGCGAGCTGCTGAACTCCAAGAAAACATATAGAATTGATTAAAATTTTCAATATTTCTCTATTTGATTTAACTTTCGAATTATGCTGTTCGATTGATATTTTGCCCATCGAATCTATCATATTTTCAATACGAATTTCGCCAAATGTTTTTAATTGAATCATCGACTGCAAATGAGCTGTTGATTATTCATGTCATTTAACTGCCTTTGAAAAATTATTCATATCCGAAAATCCTCTATCATTCCAAACATATTTTGCCTTTGGGAATAATAAGCATGACCAACAATATAGAGAATTAGAAAATTCACATTCAGTGAGCCATTCATATTTATCGATAGAAAAATTACGAATGCAAGATTTTATTTCTTTTTTTAAATTTCTTAAAATTGGCTTTGGTCTTCCTTTTTCAATAATTAATTTTTTGGTATCAAAATTTCTTGAGCTAAATGATAATATTAATAATTCAATAATACAATTACAATTACAATTATTAAACATTAATTTAAAGAAAAAAAAATTTTTTTTTAAAAAGTAAGAAAAAAAATTTAATATAAAAAATTTATTTTTCTTTTATAAAAGAATAAGCAATTTTTTATTTGCTTCCCCAATACTTATTTTTTAATCGTAAAATTAAACAATATTATAACATGATTTTCTATTTATTTATTGAATAAATAAGCAATATTAGATTTGCTTCCCTCTTGTATATTTTTTTTAACGTAATAAAAAAATTACACCAAAAAAATATCGTATCATGATTTATTAGTATATTTATTATAGGAAAATAAGCAATATTAAATTTGCTTCCATCATTTTTTAACATAGTAAATATAATAGTAAATTTTTTTACGTAGTAAAAATAATAGTAAATTTTTGAACGTAGTAAAAATAATAGTAAATTTTTTAACGTAAATTTTTTATCGTAGTAAAATATTATAAATCTTTTTAACGTTATAAAAAATATATTAATTATTTTAAGGAAGTAATTTTATTTTTTTTAGCATAGTATAAAGATTATATTAAGTTTATCTAAGAATTTTGTAAAAAAAATTTCAAGGCTTCCCTTGCTTTTATGGACGCTTCGTCCCTGCTTCACCAATAGCCTCGAAATTAACATAAATGATGCGAGATGTTTCTAAATGACAAGTCCACCTCTGGTCTAAAAGTCTCTTAAGAGTATGGCCTGCATATTTGCAGGATACGTTAAACCGCCTAAAAAATTATTCAGTGCATTGAAAAATTAAAAAAATTAGAAATGATAACAATATTATTATACCAATTTTGAGCCACAAGGAACTTTTTTATTAATTTTTTATGAAGTAGGGTTTGCACTCTCCTTCATTTCGGCCAGACTTAACGTTTGCACCATCATATGCCTGGTTTATCATATTCGTTGTATTAATATTTAACTCATAAAGTTGCTTTAAAATGCAATTAGTAATGCTTTCAGCAGAAAGACACTGTAAATAAATAATCCCTATTAAATTTTCTTGGACTTCTCCAGAAAAAATATAAATAATTATGCTCAGGTTTTCACAACCTGATTAATCTTTTATCACGTCAGCCTTAAGACAAAAAAAAAGGCATCTCACTTTTGTTATATTTATCTGAAATATAATCAAGCACCATATCTACCATAATAGATATTACTTCGTTTTGAATCTTGGTGATGTATATCGCGTATTTTTGTATATAAGTTTCGTAATTTTATTTAATTCAGGATCTTTTTGCATGGTGTATGAAAACATTGCTATAAATAGTCCAGAAAGAATAAATTAGGTTTTCTATATTTGCAGCATCCGTAATTTTTGTTGAACCAGTCCCACGGAAAGGTAGCTCCTGTATGTTAAGAAATATCATGAAATCTTGATTTAAGATCTTAAAGATTACGGTGGCTTACCAAAATTGTTGTATATCACTATTTTCTTTATAATGCTAAAATATTCACCGCTGTTTAAAATAACTGGTGATATCGGGCTTAGATGATATTATTTTGTCTAAGATCTTAATCGGACGATTTTTAAAAATCGGCCCAAATCGAGCTGTTTAGCAACACTGCACAATAATTACAAATTTTATAAAAATTTAATAAGAACCTTTTTTATTTTAATAAATATTTACGAATCAGTATCAATCTGTTTCTTTAGATTTGATATATATATATATCAAGCCTTGAGTAATCACTTGATTAGTTTCAGAAAATTCCTGTTTTTTATAATTTGCACCCAGATCTATATCAACCTTCAAAAGATAATAATATTGTGATTGAACCATAATAAATAAATAATTATCATTGAAATAAGTACAATTTAAACGTTATAATTAAGCACCTACATAATGTTATACATAAACATACATGAAAATGATAAAATATGAATGATGATTTATTATTAGATAAAAATAAAACAGGATAGGAAGAAATTTATAAACACGATATGTTTTTTGAATAAATATTTATAATTTATTTTAAAAATATAAAAATAATCAATTACAAAATTTTTTTTTAAATTTGGGAAGATTTTTTCTGGGGGCCAGGCTTGGGGGACAAAAAAATTTTTTGGGGGTGGGGGGGGGGCTGCCCTCTCCCTTTTTCGTGGCTACGGTCCTGGAAAGGTGGCATTATATAACATCCAAAATTCTAACAATTAACAATTGAAAATTATAGTCAGCAGTATATTGAATTTTATTATTATTTAATTAATTTAGATGTTATTCTTATGCAATCAATACTAATAAAGAGAGTTACGTGACTTTGACAGAATGCTAATTGTCTCATTTTTGGAACGGTATATAATATATTCACATTAATGATCTAAAAACATTAATGGGCTCGGTGCATTAAAATCAATATTTAGAATTGACAAGTGTAAATATTCCAGTTTTAACTTCTTCCTTCACTTATAATAGTATTATGAAATAATAGTTTCAATTTTTTAAAATTAAAAATATATAATGACACAGAATTATGATGGAGAGAATAATCAAGCTTTTGTTGGAAAAGATAATGTAACAATTAATGGATTTTGTTACCTAACTGCAAAGGAAGATTTTAATGATGCTGATAAAAATTATATTCACCCTATTTTAAATAATAATATTAATCATGTTATCACAGAAATTGAACTAGTTATACCTAATTTATTGAAACACAATGATATGCCCATTTACTCTTTACTTTCTTCAAATACTTCTTATATTGAAATGATAAAAGGCAATATTTAATATAAATTTGAATAATAAGGGCTTAACAATTTATTATCAATATATTGTAGTAGAATGTTTTATTTATCATTGAAAAAATATATATAAATAGTTAATTTTTTAAAAGTATTTTGCTCTTATTTTATATAATAAAATAATATTTATTCTGTTATATATATATAGAATCTCAATCCTCACCTGAACAACCCATGTCCCCATCCAATCTCTCCTTTCCTTCTTTTAGTTCTTCGCCAGATAATAATAATATCCCTACCAAGCAACAATCAAATTTTTCTTCTAATTCTAAAATATGCACAGATTTTGCTACTCTTTTTGATGATTTACTTTATTTAGGAAGTGTATCAATTGATGAACCAAAAGAAAGATCAGAAATTATTGAATGCATGAAATTATTTGATAACCCTATTGGTATCAATTTTCCAATGCCTCTCAAAATTTGCATGGCTGTTCCAGATTCTTGTAGATATTCAATTATGTGAGCTCATTTTATAATTTTTTCTCATCAAAATTATTATCTTTTTTACAAAAAACAAAAATGTAAGCCTATATATTCACATGAATTAGAGTTGTTAAGATTTTCAAATATATCTAGATAGAGAAATGTATTAAGTTCAGAGACCTACAGAGGTAACATTTGCACGGCCTAGCATGGGTTGGAAAATTTACACTTATTTTTAATTTTTATGGGAATGACTAAAATACGCGTCCCCAAAAACTACGCGTCCCCGGTCAAAATACAGTTTTTTTAAAAAAATCAAAACAGATTCATATTTAGCTCATTAAAAGAATACAGAATATGTAAATATTATATATTAAAGTATTTAATAACTTAGTAATTTTTGGAAAAAACACTTTTTTTCGAAAACACTACGCGTCCCCAGTCAAAAAACCGTTTTTTTTAAAAAAATAAAAGCAGATTCATGTTTAGCTTTTCAAGGAGATTCAGAAAGTATTAATAAAAAAAATTTTTTTTTGGCTAAACTACGCGTCCCTATGCGTCCCCGGTCAAAATACAGTTTTTTTAAAAAAATCAAAACAGATTCATATTTAGCTCATTAAAAGAATACAGAGTATGTAAATATTATATATTAAAGTATTTAATAACTTAGTGATTTTTTCAAAAAACACTTTTTTTTTCAAAAACACTACGCGTCCCCGGTCAAAAAACCGTTTTTTTTTAAAATAAAAGTTCATGTTTAGCTTTTCAAGGAGATTCAGAAAATGGTATTAATAAAAAAAAATTTAAAAAAAAAATTTTGGCTAAACTACGCGTCCCCGGTCAAAATACAGTTTTTTTTAAAAAATCAAAACAGATTCATATTTAGCTCATTAAAAGAATACAGAATATATAAATATTATATATAAATATTATATATTAAAGTATTTAATAACTTAGTGATTTTTTAAAAAAAACACTTTTTCGAAAACACTACGCGTCCCCGGTCAAAAAACTGTTTTTTTTAAAAAATAAAAGCAGATTCATCTTTAGCTTTTCAAGGAGATTCAGAAAATTCGATATTGTATCTGAAACTAATAAAAAAATAATTAATTGTATCCATTTTCTGAATCTCCTTGAAAAGCTAAACATGAATCTGCTTTTATTTAAAAAAAAAACGGTTTTTTGACCGGGGACGCGTAGTGTTTTTGAAAAAAAAGTGTTTTTTAAAAAAATCACTAAGTTATAAAATACTTTAAAATATAATATTTACATATTCTGTATTCTTTTAATGAGCTAAATATGAATCTGTTTTGATTTTTTTAAAAAAACTGTATTTTGACCGGGGACGCGTAGTTTAGCCAAAAAAAAATTTTTTTTTAAATTTTTTTTATTAATACCATTTTTTGAATTTCCTTGAAAAGCTAAACATGAATCTGCTTTTATTTTTTAAAAAAAACAGTTTTTTGACCGGGGACGCGTAGTGTTTTCGAAAAAAAGTGTTTTTTCAAAAAATCACTAAGTTATTAAATACTTTAATATATAATATTTACATATTCTGTATTCTTTTAATGAGCTAAATATGAATCTGTTTTGATTTTTTAAAAAAAACTGTATTTTGACCGGGTTTAAATTTTTTTTATTAATACCATTTTCTGAATCTCCTTGAAAAGCTAAACATGAATCTGCTTTTATTTAAAAAAAACGGTTTTTTGACCGGAGACGCGTAGTGTTTTCGAAAAAAAGTGTTTTTCCAAAAAATCACTAAGTTATTAAATATTTTAATATATAATATTTATATATTCTGTATTCTTTTAATGAGCTAAATATGAATCTGTTTTGATTTTTTAAGAAAAACTATTTTGACCGGGGACGCGTAGGGACGCGTAGTTTAGCCAAGAAAAAAAAAATTTTTTTTTAATTTTTTTTATTAATACCATTTTCTGAATCTCCTTGAAAAGCTAAACATGAATCTGCTTTTATTTAAAAAAAAAACGGTTTTTTGACCGGGGATGCGTAGTGGTTTTGAAAAAAAAAGTGTTTTTTAAAAAAATCACTAAGTTATAAAATACTTTAAAATATAATATTTACATATTCTGTATTCTTTTAATGAGCTAAATATGAATCTGTTTTTATTTTTAAAAAAAAACTGTATTTTGACCGGGGACGCGTAACAACGCGTTGTTTAGCCAAAAAAAATTTTTTGGAAAAAATTTTTTTAATTTTTTTATTAATACCATTTTCTGAATCTCCTTGAAAAGCTAAACATGAATCTGCTTTTATTTTTAAAAAAAACGGTTTTTTGACCGGGGACGCGTAGTGTTTTTGGAAAAAAAAGTGTTTTTTGAAAAAATCACTAAGTTATAAAATACTTTAAAATATAATATTTACATATTCTGTATTCTTTTAATGAGTTAAATATGAATCTGTTTTTATTTTTAAAAAAAAACTGTATTTTGACCGGGGACGCGTAAGGACGCATAGTTTATTTTTTTTAAAAATAAATTTTTATAAATTTTATTTAGTTACCGTATTTTTTTTAAATTAAAAAAAACATTTTCTAACTCATATTATCAAGCTTAATAAGATTTCCTATTAATAATAATAAAAATAAGTCGTTTTGACCGGGGACGCGTAGGGACGCGTAGTTTTCGGGGACGCGTATTTTAGTCATTCCCATTTTTATAGGTAATATTGGCGATTTAAAATATATGACCTGACCTGGGTAATTAAATTTTATAAAAAATCAAAATGCAGTTTGTCTATATACCCAGGCCAGACCTGCAGTTCTCTGATTTAGATACAGATACATTTAAGAGAAACATTTTTTATCACGATCATGTAAAATGTGCATAGGGTCATTCCATATCAAATCACACTTTTGGCTGACAACTTTTTGGTTATTGTTGTAATATTATTATTCAAATTGTGATAATATTCAAACAAAAATAATGCTTTATTAAAATTGTTACTTTATTATTTAAGTAGACTATACAAATGAAAGGAAAACATGTGATATTGTAGATATTTGATACTTTAAGAGTTTAACAATTGGAGTTGTTCACTATTTATTTTTTTAGTTAAAAATTTCTTAATTTGTTTTACTTTTTCTTATATTATTTTTTTCTTAATTTTTGTTAATTTTTCATGTTAATTTATAATTGATTAATTTATATATAATTTAATAAAGAAATTAGAATTTGTATTAATATAAATTTTCTTCTATTTTATTTTTAGGTACAAAATCATGTTTTCTACAGTTATATATGTTCACATTAGATTATAAACAAAATTTTAGCCCATTAACAACTATATTAATGGAGATAATCATGTTAGAAGGTTCAAAAATCATCTTTTTTTGCTTTTTTTACTAATGCTTAACTAGTTTTTTATTTAAAACCAAATTAGATCAAATGTTGAATCTAATATTAATAGCTATGTTAGTAATTGATGATTATGGTATAAACATCAAAATTATTTTTTTAAAAAATATGGGTTATCTTATGGTCAGTAGAAACTTTGAAATTAATATTTCTAAATGAATATGATCTAATTTTTAATTTTTTTAAGAAATATTATTGGCTTACTATTTTTTTTAATAATTTCTTCACCAATTAGCATGTCTGAATATTTATTTAAAAAAATATTATGATTTTTATACTAATAGTTTTAATATGTTAAAATTCATTTTTTTATTGCTTAAAAATATTTAATGTCGATTACAAGGATTTGTAATTCAGATCATGAAATTTTTAAAATCTTCACATTTTTGCCTAAAAATGTCTGATCGGGGGAGTAAGAGTAAGAGGATTTATTTTTTCTGATTTAAATCAAATTTAGCTGTTAGGAAATTAATAAATTTTTTTTGATAAAGGTTGATTACACTAGTATTATGGTTAGTAGGGATATAGCGATATTTCACCCATTTTAAAAATTTTCCAATCCAATATAAAATGCGTCTTTAACAAAAATGAAATGTTATAAAATTTAAAAAAAAGTTATATCTAAAATCATTTTTTTATAAATAAAATCGAAATCCATTTTTATGTATATTATAATTAACGTGATACGTGATATATAGCGCATTCGCCCTCTAACGTTGAATACACAACAGAGCAACGCTAGGCTTTCCTTATTTTCATCTAATTGGAATTTATTAATTTGGGGGAGAAAAAAGAATATGAGGAGCCCTCCACACGTTTGTGGGCAAGCCGCACGTACTTGTACGCACAACAATTCTGAAGAAATGTTATTAAAACGTCTATAGGCTTAGAGGAAAAGAGAGGGACCAAAAAATAGCCTATACCCCTGCTTTTGAAATTAATTACTTTAAAGGTGGGAGGTGGGAGGTGGATAACTTAATTTAAAAAATTTTACTGTATTAAAGCAAGTTTATTTATTTTTGAGGTAAATTAAAGAAAAATACTTGCGAGAGGAATAAATCCACATAAGAAATCGAAGAAGAAAAGTAAGAAAAAGGTATGTGAACGAAAGATCCCTAGGAACAATTTTCATCTGAAATATCTATCTTTGATGCGAAAGAGTTTTCTGATAGACCTTTTGCAATTATTAAGCTTTATAAATTGTTTCATGTTTACATTCAGCTCCATCACGTCTTTTATAGCTTTGTAATACCATAACGATTTGTATTTAGTATACTGTTTCCCTTTATGTGTATATAACCAAACGATAGCATCAGGTGCAAGGGTGTGATCTGAATTCCTTATTATATGGGCTAGGAACTGTATCCGACGTTTTTTTAACGTAATATTTATCGGAGTGTGGCTAGATTTCCTCCAGAGGTTAGAGTTAGAGATGACTCTGGGATAAAAAATACCATTTATCGTTCTCAGACAATTATTTATAAAGGATTGAATGCGTCTTAAGTCAGTCTTGTTAGCTTCCCATATGTCACTTCCGTATAATAAAATGGGGATAATAGTAGAGTTGAATAGCCTCAACCTCGTAAAAACCGATATTTCCTTAGATTTCCAGATTTTCATGTACATATAGAACGCTCTTTTGGCTTTTTGCTTTCT